TTCCTTTCCGGACATGCTATACCCCAGATTCCCTCTTCTTCTTCCTCTCTAAGTGTGCCCAATTGAGTACGTTTCCCTCTTTTTCACTCATGCATCTTAGCATTTTGCCTTTGTTTCTCCATCGTTGGCTGTTTCGGAAGAGCTCGCAAGTTCAAAACAAGCCAAGGCTAAAAGCTCTAGAATTCAATTCCGGCGTAAGAAGAACTCGAAGTTTCATAAACTGACGAGCTGGGTTTTTGTTGTTAATTTGATTCGGTAATGCTCCGGTTCTAATCTGCCTTGCTTTGTTGTTGTGGTTTGTTTCTCCTCTTTGTTGATTGATTACCTGTTCTGAAATACTTTCTTTCACTGTGATTCGATGAATTTTTTTTTTTTGTTTTTAATGATCTTAGCCTGCTGAGTTTATATTGTTTGTTCATTTGTTGATAATTTTACTACCTTTTTATATGTAACGCAACTCTTAGAAAATCAAGAAATTCGTTTATTCACTTGTTTTGGTTTTTCTAAGCTTGAGACAGTTTAGAGATTTTAGATATTAGTCGCCTTTTATGGTTCCTTTGTGACAATTTCATCACACATCATTAAACCAAATGATGTATTTGGGCGGACGTGAGGGCAAATGACATGATTAATAGAAATTTTTAGAGCTACTGGTTGGCCGAGTAGTAATACACTAGTGCTGGGGCCATGAAGCCAAAGGTTTGTTGCAATCTTGCTTAACACTTGGGGTTTACACAGATATATTAACAGAATTTGATTTATAACGTTGCATTGAATTAATTGCTGAGGTGCTTGTTAGAAAATGACGAGAAATTTTAAATTTAAGATTGTGTCTGTATTCATTTGTTGCTGTGATTGTTAGAATATGTCTAGGAAAACTGAATTTTAGAGTTGTATTTGAAAGCATTTGCTGAGGTGCATGGTAAATTAGTCAGGATGAGTGAGGAAAGCTAGTGCTTGCAGGTTTTGTTCACTGATTAATGTAAAATTGACTTGCTGCGTTTCCTTTGATGTACTTTGCATCAGGTGACATGATAGAGGTACAGGGTGTTAATTTTTAGGTCGTGATTCATATGCTGTTGTATTCAGGAACAATTGTATTTTGTATGTTTGGACATTCAAACTAATAGGCATCATGTCATTGGCGAACTAGAAAGATAAACGGAGAAAGAAAATAAATTCCTTGCTATATTTTTTGTTGTTCCTGAACTCCCATCAAAATTATCAAATTATCAGACAAGTGCTTGCATGTCTAATCTGCTAATTAGTTTCTTTATCATGCAAAGTAATCCCCCACTTTTTGCTGTGAACAATGAAGAACATTATGAGAAGATAAAGCCTCCTGTTGTTCGGCAAAGAGGATGTTCTAAAGTCACATCTGAGAATGTTGACCTGGAAAGGGTGAATAGATCATTCTATTCTGAATATTCCTTATTTTTTCATGTTGAACATGTGCTCACCTTCTCTTTTTCATGTTGGGTATGCATTCACCTTTTGTTTACGGGTTGGCCCTTCGCCTTTACTGCAGAAGAGTCACAGCATGCAGGTCAGTAGCTAGGGAGGTCAGCACATCAATAACACTTTATGGTGGCCTAAATTAAGATTTTTTAGTTGCTTGTTTATCATGCTAGGATCTTAAATTTTTGGAAATACATAACTCATATACCCTAGACACAAGAATGTGTGCATATCCTTGTATCATTGTTTATCTAATGGCGGGCAACTGTTTATTTTTCGTTCTCTTTCCAACATCGCCAACCATTTTGCAGACCAATTCTCTTCAGGGGGTATTGTTTAGCCTTTTATTTTTGGTGTTTTAACACTGTAACTGATGACTGATGGATTTCTCTACATATTTCTGTCAACAGGAGGCAATTCTAACTCTGATGAAGCAAATCTCTGTTGCTGACCATGCAGGTTCAGAAAGATCCTAAGCTCTCCTATTTTTCTAGTATTTGCTATTTTCAAATTAGCTGATTTTACCTTCTTTTTCCATGACACAGCCAACTGCCCAATTGGGGGAGGAAGTTCACTACCTAATACTGTTTTTGGAGAAAAATCTTTGGTATTTAAGCACTCTGTGGTTGTACTTAGGTTGTTATCTGTTTGCTAACTAATTATCAAGCTACTCAACATTCAGATTCACCATCTATTAGAACAGCCAACAAAGTCCTGGAAATAGTTGCCTGACTCTGCAAACCGTTTATGAATCTCTTCTTATTTTCCCTAAAAGAATTGTCTGCTGTTCTAATATTGTGGCAATGTTTGTTGCCTGGTTTACACTACAATTGCTTATGACTTAGCATCAATGAGCTTAGTAAATTGTAAGTGGTTTTTAGAAATCATGTTATGAACTCTGACCCTGTGCCTAGATACAAAGATGACCCAACATGTCATATAAATTCCTATTCCTCTATCTAGACTTTAGATTTTTTCAAGCTGGATTCATGCAATACTTTTGGCTAGAATGTTAATTGCTCTAGAAACCTGACTAGTTCAATAGGTAAAGCAATCTTAAAAGTTCTAAAGGGGAGGATTCCCATCTCTGTTGTACTTTCTTTTTGTGGAATTAATAAGAAGGCCCTACCAAGCATTCTCATCACTTCAAATGATAAATGAAAAGTTGGGGCACATACCACCTGGTCCAGTAGTTTTCTTTTAGCTCTTTTTACTGCAATAAGTACTGGTTATCAAATTTATTTTAAAATAATTTTGAACTGCAGCTTGAAGCAGTTCATGATAGGGAAATGGAGTTCATGAAAAAACCAACTTGTAGACTTACAATGGAGGTATTTCCATCTTGTGCATGTATAGATATGTACATACAAAATGACAACTTGTTTATAACCTTGGTTTTCTATATGAGTAATGATAGGTGAGACGACACTAGGAGATGAAATTAAGGAACGACAAGTATTAAAAAGATTTATGCATGTGATGTAATTACTAATTTAACTCTTACAATACTTGTCGTCCTTCAATTTCGTCCCTCGACGTCGTCCTGCCTATCATTGCTCTTTCTCTATATATATATATATATATATGTATGTATAGGCTTATATGTGCCCAAGTTGAAATCCAAAAGCACAAAACCGAAAAAGCTCAGGTAATTAAAGTTTCTGAATTTATTCGCTTTCAGGTCTGATTTGACTTGTCCTGTCATTTGTTGGATGGATGGATTTAGACTAGATTTGTGGAACCATATGGTAGTAATTAAAGTAACAATCGGATGATAGAAACACGTTGATCCGTAGAGATCATTAACTACTAGTAGCCCGCCATTATTTCCTTTTTAGGCACTTTATTTACGTAGGCGAAAAGTAATTCATTCCGTAACCACTTAGTGTAGATTTCTTTATGATTTTTTTTTCTCTGTTATCGTAAGTTGTAAATACGGTTCAATTGTGGCTTTAACTCACATTTTTAGCGTAACAACGTTGAAGTTGATTGTTAGATATATACAGCAATTTCTTGTGTCTGTAGAACTCATTAACATGCTGAAAAACAATTATCTTTATATGCATCTAATTCCATCGAAATTAGGAAAAAGCATGGATCAAATAAATAAAACAAAGATATGAATCTATTGAAATTAACTTGGATAAACACATCAAGATCAAAAGTTTGAATGGGGAAAGTACGTCAATATATACATCAAGAGCAATAATCTATATGCATCTGTATGGCTGGGCATGGTGATAGCTAGCTACATATTGAAAAATGGAGTAAAATACTCCCTGTCAAAGTCATCACTGTCATTCAGCTGATCGATTGGGTCAAAACTCAGATATTGCTGGATCTCCTGTTCCCATTCAGGCTCTGTGTAATACACATTACGATCATCAGTTGGTGTAATACTGCTCGATGAAGATGCATCCATAGTGCATGGTTCTGCAGGTGAAGAGTGGTTGATTGTGCATGGTGCTGCGTCTGCTGAATGAGTCTCCTGACTGTAGGGCATAGCAGAGCCAAATGCAGAAGGAGGCTGGTAATACAGTTTAGGATCATCAACTGGTGCAGCATCTACACACTGATTTGTTGTGCTTGATGCAGCAACTTCTGCTAAATGAATGCCCTCAATGTAGGGCTCAGTTGAGAAAGATGGCTGTATAACAGCTTCTGAAAGAGTCTCCCGAATGTAGGGATTAGCTGAACCCAATGCAGCAGGCAGCTGGTAATACAGTTTAGGATCATCATCAACTGGTGCAGTATCTACGCAGTGATTTGCTGTGCTTGATACAACGACTTCTGTTTGATGAAAGCCCTTAAGGTAGGGCTCAGTTGAGAAAGATGGCTGTATGGCAGCTTCTGAATGATGAGTCTCCTTTATGTTGAGAGGAGTTGCTGAAGACAACGCACCGTCCACAAATTGAGTCTTTTGGTTCAACTGTGGAAAGCAAGAATTCATCCTTCTTCGCTTGAGAGGTTGTCCAGAATTAACGTCAAGACAAGGCACAATCTTCGCTCCTTTCTCAGAACTTTCCGGACACGTCTTTCCTTTTCCCATAACGTTGCTTCCCTCTGGACCTCGTCCCCGTTTCTCCTCTTTTGAATCTTTCTTCTTGTACACATTACAGAGGACAACATTACCATCATTCCCATTCGCAAGCGATGGATCCAACACAAATTCATACATCAACCAGTCGGTTTTCGCATTAGGCCCACTGAAATAGTTCAGAGTGTTCCTCTTTCCCCACAGCAACCCATCTTCCCAAACATCATCAGAGAAATTCAATTTCCAGAAAGCTTGCTTGTTGACCTTTATAACCCTATTGTTCCTCTTAGAACCTGCAGATTTCGATTTTCTTTCCCTTGCGTAAAAATAGTAACCCTCCTTTTCATTTGAGCCCATTCCTGCAATACCCAAAATTCAGTGTTAGAAAATGAACCAAAAAAATTCAGATACCAGCTGGGGCGAAAAAAGATATCATAATCAAACATATTCAGATATATAATGTACTAGGGCAGAAAAGATCATATCATCGAAATTAACCCTAAAGTTATATTCCATGTTCTTTTGAAATCGAACCATATACAATGTTTTCAACATGCATCGGGAAATTAGGGCATGCAAGAAAAGTTTTCTTTTACACAAGTTCGTTACGGAACCCGGGAAAACCTTTAAGCCCATGTCAGAAAACTCACGAAAGTAACGAAGGGAATCAAGAAACTGGAGAAGACCTTGAACCCAGGAGAAAACTCAGAGAAGAAAAACGAATTCGACAAACTCGAAAAAACCTTAAAACCTATGACAGAAAACGAAAGAAGAAAAAGAAAGAACGTCAAGAAACTCCAAGAAATCTTGAACCCATTTCAGAAAGTGCGTGAAAACAGCGAAAAGATATCAAGAAACTGGAAAGGGAAGTAGAGAAACCTGGGAGATCCCATGGGGGCACAGCAAGGATGTCAGTATCAGAGACGATGCTCCACTGGCAGGAACCCTTGGTGACTGTGTCATAGAGATAATGACGGAAGAGCTCGGAACTGGTAGGGTGGAAACGGTAGCCGGAGGCAGAAGCGGTGGCTGAGGAACGCCATTGATTGTCTGCTCCGCCATATCGCCGTAAAAAGTAAACTCAGCTGAATGTTGACGAGAAACTGGACGGATAAAGTATATACAGGAAGTCGGTGACACGATGGGTTAATATGTGAGTGAGGTAACGGTAAAGGGTCTCAAACTTCAAAAGTTATAAATCACGTATTTGGGTCCTTAAACTTTCAGTTTTAGACTAAATTGGTTCATAAGCTTTAAAAACAATAAAATAGTCCTTAAGACTCGGTGGGTGATATCTGAATGGGGTAACGGTAAAGTGTCTGAAACTTTAAAAAACTTAAGTCACCAATTTGGGTCCTTAAACTTTTAGTTTTAGACTAAAATGGTTCTTAAACTTTAAAACACAATAAAATGGTCCTTAAACATTTAACTCTAATTAAACTTAAAATAAAATTAAATAAATTAAAAGGCTTTTTTAAAGATATAGGTAAATGATGCATTTAATGTACTTTTTAGCCATTAAATTACATAAAAAAATAAAGTTTAAGTTTAATTTTAACAACTAACTAATTAAATTAATGTACGTGATATTGATGTTAACATTAATACTCACTTTTTTTATTCTCTATACTATTTAATAACTAAAAATATATTAATTATACCATTATCTTGTACCCTAAATATATAAGTTAGAAAAAACCTAAATTAAATTAACTCAAATTTTGTATGAAATCTCTAATTTTTTTTCTATACTCTTCCATCAATTAAGTAATGATTTAGCCAACTTTTTTGTCAAAAAATTTATTTCCTTTAATTTGAAATATTTTATGGAATTTATATGAAAATTTAAATAGTGTGCCGTCCTTTACTTTTATGGCATCCTTGTTGCTATTCCATTCATTGTCTAAAAATTACTCTAGTGGGCCTCTATTGATTCATAAATTAAATTATTAATTAAAGAATTAGATTATTAATCACATTTAAATCTAATTAAACTTAAAATGAAATAAAAAGGATTTGTCTTGTTATAAAAATAGAAAGGTTAATAAAGAAAATATAATCCCTGAACTTTAAATATTTTAGCTAATTTGTCTCCAAACTTTTAAAAGTATCTAAATAGTTCTGACACATTCAATTTTGGTACCTTTTCAGTCATTAAGTTGACTTTTTGTTATGTGGGCTGATGTGGCAGGTTAAGTTTGGAAAACTCAATGCACGTTTTTTTTTTTATAGAAAAACAATTAAAAGATAATCTTTTTGTAAAATTTTTTCAGTGACTTTATATATAATTTAATAATTAATTTTTTTTACTCTAATAAAATTTATAATATTGTATTTATTTATTTATTTAATAATATATAAAAGTTATATAAAAAATTTGTAGAAAACATAATAGGGTCCCTAAACAATAAATATTTTAGCCAATTGAATCCCTAGACTTTTGAAAGTATCTTAATAGTTCTTATACATTCAATTTTGGGGTCCTTTTAGTGATTACAGCTTCTTTTTTCGTTGAATTAAAAATTATATTAAAAGAAGTACAAGAAATGTTCACGCTTACAAAGATAAAAGGAGAGAAGTCATTAGAACATCTAAAATGAAGAACATCACAAAATCTCACTTTAGTATCACATCATTAAAATTAATATTATTTTATATAAATTTATATTTTTCTATGTATTTAGTTTTCAAATAAAATATTTAATAAAACATCTCCCTTTAATGCATATTTAAACAAAACTTTCTCAAAAATTACACCATTACTATTTTATTCTAGCTATATTTTCTATATTTAAATAAAGTATTTAAATTTAAAAAAAAAATTGAAAATCCAACAACTGGGTTGAGTGTAGGGCTGGGCATGGTATGGTACAGTTACCATACCGCTCTCAAATGATGGTAACTATTTTAAGTGGTAATGAAAAAAATTTACCATTTCCATATCAATTGATGATTTTTTCGTAATGGCTACCAACCATTTTTAACGGTAATGAAACTTGCCTTACCAATACCATCCCATATTACCATCTTTAAACTTATTTTCTCCATTATCAATTAATTCAAGTCATTCAAAATTCAATCTTAAAAGCTCAAAATTATCTTAAAAACTTATTTT